TATTGCTAAAAGCGGCGTAAAATTAAACTCACTCACTCACTGAAACTGTTTTGATTGTGGCACAGTGATATCATTACGTTTGTCTAAACACAGGTAGGGCGCGGAAAATGAGGCATAATAACCCGGGCGAAACAGGATTCGAACACATGGCCATCAGATTGTGGCACAATAGAGGAAGTCAGTTCAACATGTCAGTGGCGTCATCTGGAGGGAAAAGTCTTCAAGACACGTCACATAACGCCAGGTGATTCCTGCTGTTGTACATGCTACAATGTTACATTTATGCTTCGTCTACACTACGTCTATGTTATATCTATGGTACGTCTATGCTTCGTCTACACTACGTCTATGTTATATCTATGGTACGTCTTTGATTCGTCTACACTACGTCTATGATATATCTGTGGTACGTCTATGGTTCGTCTACACTACGTCTATGATTCGTCTACACTACGTCTATGTTATATCTATGGTACGTCTATGCTTCGTCTACACTACGTCTATGAATCGTCTACACTACGTCTATGCTTGGTCTACACTACGTCTATGTTATATCTACGGTACGTCTATGCTTCGTCTACACTACATCTATGCTACGTCAATGTTATATTTATGGTACGTCTCTGCTACGTATATGTTACGTCTATGCTACATGTATGGTATATCTATACTAAGTCTATGCTTCGTCTATTCTATGTCTATGCTACATGTTTGTGATGCATATGCTCCTTCAACACTACGTCCATGTTGTGTCCATGCTTTGTCTGTGCTACGTCAGTGTTATGCCTATGCTATGCTTATGCTTGCTAAGTCGGTACATGGCTATATAATGCCTGTGCTACGTCTATATGTCTATGTTATGTCTATGTTATGTCTATGTTATGTCTATGTGATATGTCCATGTTATGTCTATGATATGTCTATGTTATGTCTATATTGTGTCTATGTTATGTCTATGTTATGTCTATGTTATGTCTATGTTATGTCTATGATATGCCTATGTTAAGTCTATGATATGTCTATGTTATGTCTCTTTTATGTCTATGTTATATCTATGCTATGTCTATGATATCTCTATGTTATGTCTATGATATGTCTATGATATGTCTATGTTATGTTTATGTTATGTCTAAGCTTCATCTTTGCTTCATCTATGCTACGTCAGTGTAATGCCTATGCTATGCTTATGCTTGCTTAGTCCATGCATGGCTATTTAATTCATATGCTACGTCTAATTTATACCTTTACCACGACTACACCACTTCAAAGCTACCTCTATGATATCATTGCCATCCTAAGCTGCGGGGGTAGCAATAAATTGAACCTGCTACAGTCACAGCGCTAAGAACCCTTTGTGTTATGTGGCAATGTCTTGATATCAAATTTCCAACTTCTTTCTTAAACAAACCACAATAAAAAAAATCAGTCAGAACCCGGCTTATGAAAATAAATCGATATATCGATGAATCACGTGTCTGGAGCCTGAGTTGTATATCAATGTACAATGTATATCCTGCAAGGTGATATTTAGTACGTAATATGCATTAAAAGATAGGATAATATGCATGTAACAGATGGCAAATTTGATTACGTTATGTACCTATTCATGCATACAGATATGTTCAGTTCACTACACGCAACATATATGTAACACTACATATCAAAAAAGAAATATTGATTCTGGCATAATTAATTTTCTTTTATGTGCACAATTATATCCACCGTTTGTACAAAGATGTCAAGCGAATTATTCCAAACACATTGTACTGAAATTATATTATTCAGAGAGAATAATACCGCTCATAAAAGTTTTATCGTGTGACTGTGAAACATGTTTTTATATTAAAAATGTTGATTTAAATATTTTCAGCATTAGAACGAATACCTGGATGAAATGTATTCAATAATATTTGATAATAATTTTCAGCTACGCGGGTTTATTGTATCAGAGCATAGTTACCGTATGGTGATAAAATCGTTTAAACAGCGTGACTCTGTTGTGTATACATCATACGGGTCTTTATGTATACACCAGATGTGTTACTCTTCTGTAGACATTATTCAAACGATGACCTCAGTTTACAAATCATGCTGAGTAAACTTAATCAACCATGAATGTCCACATTGCTCAAATAAACGAATTAGGTCATTCCGCTATTGACAACCCCTATCTGCAGCTTCTTGAATAGGATCCATGGCGATGTGAGTTAGTGAAGCTGTATGTCCATAGAAGTCCATGATGGTCCATAAAACCTGCCAGTGTAGCGTCTCTACAAATCAATCGATAGTAATAAAAACTATTGCACGCAGGGTAACGATAGTTACTCATTTCTCGTTAATATGAACTCAATTTCAGCTCATAGCGCAGCGGCTCATAGCGTACTCGTCGATATTACTTCGGGGTTTCCACCCTAATCAATGGTGTGCATTGTGTATTAAGTTTAAGGAGTTTCCAGCCGAGTATTACGGTGTGTATCACGCGTCATGATAGCCCTGTAGTCATAAAGACGGTAATGGTAGGTTGATGGACCACTGGTTTTCGTGAGCTCAGCTGCATGAGCGGATAATGCCAGTGTTTTCTTGCTTAACTGTTGTCAATTTCACCTTGTCGATTGCTGTCTCACGGAGTGCTGACGTACGCAATTATTGCATGCAGTGCATTCCTAGATATCCTTTATTATGTGCAACATGAGATCTGCCATTTCTGTCACAAGGCTGTGGGCCTACTGGTATTTGTTCTTTCACGGCGAACTTCGTTAGTTTGCAGTGTTGGAATTATTCGAACGTGAACGAATTATCCGTAGTTCCATACATTTGTGTTGATATTTATTACAGAAAGTATATTACGGAAATGACATATTGTGTTAAACAAGAGTCCTTAGGTTTCATTGTATTTGCAATGAATAATAAATAAAAATAGTTCGTAATAATACTAACGATTAAAAATAATGAGTGTTCTGGAGAGCAGTGTCAGTGAGTGAGTGTGTTTGGGTTTCACGCTTTTAGAAATATTCCAGCAATATCACGGCGAGGGACACCAGAAATGGACTTCAAACATTGTGCCCATGTAGGAATCGAACCCGGGTCCTCGGTGTGACGAGCGAACGCTTTAACCACAATGCTCCCCACCGCCCCTCTGGAGAGCAGAGTTGCGTCCACTGGGCACGCCAGAGGCCTATGATGGTGCGTTAGAATCCCAGTTCGATTATGTTTCCTGGTTTGTCTACGCCATGTTCACGTTCGTTGATATAGCGAGAGTTGGAAACCCCTGAGTCCTCAATTACTTCGGGGTTTCCTCCCACATTAAGCAGACACCCCGTGATATAACTGGAACACGGTTCAAAGTTTAACCCATCTTACTCGAACTATACATGTCATCTAAGTTTCATTGTATACCTTGCTAGGATTTTCTGTCAACAATTTTCTTACGTCTGTAACAAAACGTCCTCTCTTATCAGCGTCAGCATTATTTAAACATTCTTTCGATACAGGATAAGCTGTTATGTACCAAGCCCTCACCAATAAGGTTTTATGTACCACCCCTCTGAGATGTACGGAAAGTATAGTCACACAAAGGGTAGATCAAGCTTGCACGGACTTTATCTGTTTCATATTTACAACAAATGGAAAACAAACGGGGATTGTGTTTGTTGACATGGTGCCAGGTGAGCTACGGATGACATGAGCATCTATTTTCAATATTAACAAGTATTTCATGGCGACGTTGATGTAAAGGGCCTGGGAACCGTTTTACCAAACAACCTCTGTCTGTAAGTCAACGTTCAGGAGGGGCGGTGGGATAGCCTAGTGGTTAAAGCGTTCGCTCGTCACGTCGAAGATCCAGGTTCGATTCCCCATGGGTACAATGTGTGAAGCTCATTTCTGATGTCCCCCTCCGTGATATTGCTGGAATATTGCTAAAAGCGGTGTAAAGCTAAACTCACTCACTCACTCTAAATTAAGGCATGGGAGTCACCTTAGTGCTGAGTTGCAGGATTAAGAGATCGGCAAAACATATAATGCCATGACGACAGGGTATATTTTGTGCTCTTGAACTGACCAAAAAACTTCAAGGACTTTAATTTCCCATAGTAAACGAAAAGTCCGAAATTGTGAACAAAATACTACATTTTTATAGGGCCAATCACTCTGATTGTTCATAACCACTGTTAGTCAAACAGACACTACTTTCGGTTAGAGTTGCGTCCCTTGACACAAGCCTGTGTTCGAATTGCCGATGTGAAGTAACTGGGTGCATGGTTTGACTGTACCATAATCATGGTACATAACCATTGGAAATATCTTTCCTGCCACATAAATTGACACAGGTGCTATGACTGAAATACGATTCAATGCGCCATTAAACTCACTCACCCACTCGTGTAGAATAAACTGGTGCTACTGCAGCATTGTCGATGGAGGAGTCCTTGTTTTCTAACGAGGGTGTTCGGCATCTTTCCGGGCAATTAAACTCGGAATCTTGTGTACGATACTTCTATACACATGAGCCAGCAATGGGAATCAATATTGTACACTGGTGTAGTGGCCGCAGATGCAATAGCAGGAGGGCTTAATGATGGAGCAGTTGTGGTACTTGCTGCCGTTGTTGTAGTTGAGATGGGTACAGTTACAGTAGTAGCTGAAGACGTTATTGAAGTTGTGGTCGCTGTTCTACTGGTTCCGTTCCCTCTGCTTAAGCCAACATGTTAGCATACTCAAGGATTGTAAAGCATGCAATTATGCTGACGTGTGTGTATATATATTTAATCAAAATTCGGACAAAGTAAAACGAATTTTAAAAAGAACGCTATATATCAAATATATTAAAACAAGTGAGCTTGTTTCTAGAAGGTGTAATCTCCCTGAAGAGTAAACATGTTAAAATATGAGTTCCATTTATCTATGTGATTTTATTACTGTGTAAATTTTGGACATTTTGTGCTTTATATCTGCAGGTGTATAAGCAAAAATATATAAAATATGAGTCCAGATATTTCTTATTGTCAAATCTTCTTTATATCTGCACAACATCTTTCGCCGTTCAACGGCTCTTCAGGTGTACAATGAAAGCTGAGTGTCATCATAGGCGACACATAACGGTAATAGCTATGTATATATATATACACGTCACGTTTATGTATCGTGTGACGTTACTCAAGACTCGACTCACCACCAGTGTACCAAATATAAATTATATTCTGCTCCATCCTACAGAACGGTAGTCATTTTAAAACCGAGAGAGAGAGAGAGAGAGAGAGAGAGAGAGAGAGAGAGAGAGAGAGAGAGAGAGAGAGAGAGAGAGAGGAGAGAGAGAGAGAGGGAGAGGAGAAAGAGAGAGAGAGAGGGAGGAGAGAGAAAGAGGGGGAAGAGAGAGAGAGGAGAGAGAGAGAGAGAGAGGGAGAGAGAGAGAGAGAGAGAAGAGAGAGGAGAGAGAGAGAGGGAGAGAGAGAGAGAGAGAGAGGGAGAGAGAGAGAGAGAGAGGAGAGAGAGAGAGGAGAGAGAGAGAGAGAGAGAGAGGAGAGAGAGAGAGAGAGAGAGAGAGAGAGAGAGAGAGAGAGAGAGAGAGAGAGAGAGAGAGAGAGAGAGAGAGAGAGAGAGAGAGAGACAGAGAGAGAGAGAGAGAGAGAGAGAGGGAGAGAGAGAGAGAGAGAGAGAGAGAGAGAGAGAGAGGGAGAGAGAGAGAGAGAGAGAGAGAGAGAGAGAGAGAGAGAGAGAGAGAGAGAGAGAGAGAGAGAGAGAGAGAGAGAGAGAGAGAGAGAGAGAGAGAGAGAGAGAGAGAGGAGAGAGAGAGAGAGAGAGAGAGAGAGAGAGAGAGAGAGAGAGAGAGAGAGAGAGAGAGACACAGAGAGAGAGAGGACACATAGCCAAACACAAACATTGTGCTGTCTATCTTGGTCTCTAAAATGTTATCCTTAACCTTATTTTATGTTAACGATCAAGATTATCTTTAATCATGCATATAATGATGAATCCGACATGGATGAACGACGGACAGTGGGAATTCCTCAAACTCGTCATGCGTCTCCCGGAACTAGAGCACCACCGCTGCCAACATGTCCCTGCCGCCTGTCCTAACTGTGCCATTTCCGTTGACAGAACTATCAGCGCCGTACAAACAACACACATGCAAACACGTGAAGTACACGGTGTATATATGAAAAAGATGGTTGCCCATCATAATCAGCTGTTAAAGAGCTCCTACATTGCTGCACATACATTTGGCTGAATGAGAATGGTCATACGGTTTTCATGGCAAGGGGCACCAGATATTGGCTTTGTGACATTGTAACGATGTGAGGAATCGAACCCAGATTTTGGGGGTGACTAGCGAATGCTTTAACCACTGGGCTACCCAACCGCCACTGCACTTAAGATGGCCCTGAATCCTTGGTGCAACAGCTGAAACGCATCTGCTGCTATATAAAAATAACCTTACTTTCTTTTGAGTAGTTCATTTGTGTCTCACACTGCACAATAACCTTTACGGGCGACCATACCGTCCACTACGATGTCTTCACGCATAACACCAAAGCGTTTCACGAAACTAGATAAAACTGAAGGATTTATATATCAACCAAACAGAGCTGACCTTTGTAAATATTTCACAAGCATCGCTTTGACATTTTATCTTTGACAGCTACTTATAGCCGGTAAAAAAACCGTGACAGGAACGGGAAGTTTAATACAGAATCTAATTCTACGAACAAGAGGACGCCCGTTTGATGCCCTTTTATCCCAGGAGATAGAGAACCTTGGAATCACCGCCTGTCACGTACAGAAATCCATCACGGATAATACAAGCAGATGAAGGAAGACAAGTGTAGGCCTTTCTAAGCGTGTCAAAGAACAAGGCCCACTACTCCACTGGGACATTTACATAAAACAGGTCTTTCATTCTGCTAGGAAGGCGCCAATTGTATCGTTACTGGGATACTATAACTTCAAGGGAGTCATTTCAAAGAAAATATTCGGATGAAAAGGCACTTCATTATTGATGAAGATGATGATGATTCGAAATTGATGGAATTTGTTGTGGTTTTGAGTTTCATGGTCTGGTCAGATAGTCGAGGGTCGGTGGTGGGATCCCAGGTATGGTCAGGACGTTAAAATATGGTACTTACTGCTTTTCTGCCTTGTGCTCGGCATTAAGATTTGGTTATGTTTCGTTGTTGTTTTACGCCGCACTCAGCAATTCTCCAGCTATATAACGGCGCTCTGTAAATAATCGACTCTGGACAGCATGACCATCGTTCTACTGGGATACGATGACATGTGTCAACCAAGTCAGCGAGCCTGACCACCCGATCCCGTTAGTCGCCTCTTACGACAAGCATGGGTTACTGAAGGCCATATCTAAGGCAATCTCTGGTCGGCTCGGTGTGTCTGTCATCATCATCATCAAAACAATCACCATCATCATCATCATCACCGTATTATTACTAGCATCATCATCATTACCATCAACAGCAACATTGTTGTTGTTGACGTGTGACGGGCTCACCGGTGAAAGCGAATCAACAACGTGAAATCGCACGTGTCTCGTCCCCCATTCTGTCAGGACTTGAATTACTTCCTCGGGTTATTTTGGTGCACCTGTAATCTCTCGCACAACCTTTTAGGGATATTGAAAAGTTGAATGATGGGCACTGAATGCAAAGAAACGCTATTCCCCTTCAGATAAGAAGCGGATTTCACTTCCTCTCCTTTCGCTTGACACTGTGGCTTTGAGAGACTGCAATGTATGATGGATTCTGAAACAAGCATCACCAGAGGACAAGCTGATGGGCATTTAAAGAGATACAGTGACTCCGCATCTGTGCCCTTCAACTTCTGATGCCACCCGTTGGGATTCCGGAGCAGGTTAAATCCCTTAGTGGACAAATGGGGATTAGTTGGTCACAATGTGTGACCTGGCCAGATTATACATAGGTCACAGTCACATATGTTTCCGCTGCTGCTTCCCACTGTTCCTGAGAACTATATTGAGTCAAACGGCTGAAAGCAGTTTTGATTTCAACTATACGCACTTAAATGTGTCAGAATAAAAATCATGTGATTTTAAAAAAAATGATACCTCATTGCAGACTGATGGATTATAGTCCTATTTTTATGTCAGTCCAGCGTGCGTCTTTACTACAATGATTGTCATGATTATTATGCTTTTATTATTAGGAATAGGGTTAGAATTGGTCTTGTGAAATTTAAGTATTATAGATAGAAAACGGTTATTGACAAATAACATTTAAGGATGACGGTTTACAAAAACGAGAGTAAGTGAATTTTAGTTTTACGCCGCTTTTAGCAATATTCCAGCAACATCTTGGCGGGGGACACCAGAGAAGGGCTTTATAAATTATACATATGTGGGAAGGCACCAAGGTTTTCGGAGTGACGAGCGATCGCTTTAACCACTAGGCTACTCCACCTTTCTCAATAGAAGAAGATAGAAGAAGCTAATAATTTATTTAATCATTTGTGCATAAAATTTCCGCAACATGACAGCATAAGAAACGTTAACATCCATCATACTATCAAACCATGTTGGAAATAGAACACGGTCATAAAGCGGGACGTGGCGAACACCTTAACCACGAAGCTACCCACCTCGACAATGGCTCTGAAAAAAACATCAGCTCTTTAATGTTTTATTGTTTAGCACCTCTACATCATTACAGAAGACTTGTCATTACTTTTGTTATTACAAGGAAATAAATGATTAATACAGACAGCGTGTATAAGCTACGAGAACAGTAACGTCCAATCAGGTAAATCACAATGGACGAAATGGCGTTATAATGTGAGATATTGAGCAGAGGGGCCCTTCGTTGCTCCGACTGAGAAATAAATCTCCCCGTGGCTCAATATGGCTCTCGCGATTTTCTCATTCAATCGAATGATTCCTAGGTCAAGGTTTTATGTGAAGAAAATTTAGAAATCCGCGATTTATTGGAGAGAGTGTCAACAAAAAAATTCGATCGATAATACACGAGTGTTGGTAATGTTCGTGGGGAGAACATCAAGGGAAAAAATCGAAAATGACATCGGTGACCAGATTAAATGACGTCATGCTATCCAAGTTCTCCTTTGTTCCCCATTGATAAAAAATATAAAAAATACCGCCATAAAAAGAACTAACTTATCAAAAATAGACCTGTGCCGCGATATTGGGTCAAATCGCCGACCCACGCTTTCTAAAATCTGAAATGTTTAATCATGCCAATATGTTAATGCATTACCGCATAATGACATCATTCTTGACACAGAAATGGAGAGCCCGTATGTTGTGTCACGTGGCTGTATTGCATCTGGTTGCCGCTGACAACCGCTAGATGGCGTTGAAACCGCAACCATTGATTCCCCATTTAGTAAGATGGAGAGTGTGGCGCTATGCACATGAATGGGTTAGGGACAGCTTGTGTGAGGCTCCGATCGATATATCGATCCACAAACTCGGCGTTGCCTTTGCTTCTTGTCCAATCAGTCCAGTGACGTTGGACGGTGAAGGAACCTATCGATCAGGCGGTTTTTAGGTCAAATATTTGTTCACGCTGTGAAAAGAGCGCGTGATGTATCGTGTACTCACAGTGATGATATGGAACGAATACAACAGGTGCCTTCAGTCAGCTGAAACTGTCTTAATATGGTTAGGAATACAACGACACCTGGGCATGGCGAAGTATGTCGCCACCAGCAGGGACATGGCTAAACTATTATGACATAATTCGTAATGTTTGGTTCATTAGTGACGAATATTTTAGCTGGAAAGATGCCAATTGATTAGTAGGGACGGTTTCTTACCAGTTTTGCCTCAGAGCAGACACGTTTCAAGTCGGAAGTTCGGTAAATATTTTGGACGCTGACATCAACAATTTACTTATATAGATATTGTATGTATAATATATATGTGCTTGTGTGTATATGTGTGCTTGTGTGTATATGTGTGCTGGTGTGTATATGTGTGCTGGTGGGTATATGCGTGCGTGCGTGTGCGAGCGTGTGTGTGTGCGTACGTGCTTGTGAGAATGTGTGCGTGCGTGCGTGTGTGTTTGTGAGAGAGTGTGTGTGTGCGT